TTTATTTCAGTTATACAGTACATATAGTTTGACAGAGCTATCAAAGGGCCATAAATTAGCGTCCGATGAGGTCATTGGGAGTCATAATATTTGTCTGAATAATAGACTAAATAGAGAATACACGCGAAATCACAATCACTTTCGATGTCGTGATCCATATCATAGCGATATATATCCGACTCTTTAATATCAGATGCAATCGACTGTATATTAAATATCGGTAAAACTTTTACAGTAGTTGAAGAGCACTCACTCGCCCATCGCTTGTTATAATATGATAACACCAATAACTACAGTAATAGTCGCATAAATATTATAATAACTGTTACAATATTTGCTAATCCTCTATATTTTATTCATATTATTATTCATATTTTGTTTACATGTTTGGACTTAACTGAAGGGAGTTTTATAACAATTATTCAGTATATCATACCATATAATATGAATATTGTATATGAATAGTGATTATTGGAAGTCCATAATCACTAAGACTTTTTCTTACAACACATCAAACAATATGTGTTATAAAAAAATTGGTGCAAATATTTTCCCACATATTCTTTATGTCTGTATTTATATTATTATTATTATTATTATTATTCATATACAGTATGTCTTCAATTCTCTCGACAATACAATTCTTTACAACTTTTTTATTGTGTTTTACGGGTATTTAGACGTAAAGGCAAACTTCAGTGAAAGGACTGTTACTTATAGTGCAAACATATATAATAATAATAATAATAACTCTTATTTCCATTTCCTGTGTATGTTTTGCAAGCTCTTGAAACTCAAGATATTTTAATGGTGTAAATCTTTTACACTTTTTAACAATGGTTTACAATAATAAAGGCTAATGTCTGAAAACACATATACATACAAACATAGAGCTAACCATTGAATATATGTCATAAAAGCAAACAATTTGACTTTAAATAGTCGACAAAATAAACAAAGTCATACACTTTGCATATATTGACTGCAAAACAGTGGCTAAACATTGACAATATGTGTGCAAATAGTTGGATAATACTATATAACACACTATTGATTATTTGAGAGTCCACCTGCTATTGCCTAATATGCCTATTGATTAGTTAGGAGAGCACAGTCAGTCAGTCAATGCTAGTGACACATATGCTGTGCAAATATCATATAAATAAGTCGTCCAAAAAAAGTTAAAGCCACTGATTATCACAAATGCATATTCAATATAATGATTTTAAATAATATATTATAAGATAGATATACATTATATATATTATATAATGTATTATTAGTTAATAGAGCACTGAGTTTAGCTATTGGATGTGCAGATGTTTGGATTGACTAAAAAGCTTAAACTTGTTGATTGGCACCGACAGGCATCACATCATCGGCTAATATTGAACACTACATTAATTGTGTTGCCCTTAAGGGAAACTATATAATCAACGAGTTTTTTAATATATTTAACAAAAACTCTACTCAACATAAACACTAATAATATATATATTTTGATTTCATAAATCTTTTTGCTTTTACTTTACTGTATATTACATAATAGTGTTCAATGAAATGAAATGTTTAGTCACTATATATATATATTCATTATGTTTTGTTTAATAATTGAATTATATTTGCAAACATTTGCATCAATGGTTAAGACGAATACAGTGGCGATAATGCTTTTACGGATGAGTTTCTTGTATAGTATTCACTAACTAAAGAGAGAGAGAGAGAGAGAGAGAGCATTGTGAGGAGGATAGGCATCACTTTTTAGGCGCTCACAAAATACACGGCAGGAGGTCTTTAAATGCACGTGCGATCCAGTTTGGCGTGAATTGCGAGGGGACTAATTGTCACACAACACCACACCGGCACCTATTCCGTAGTCACTACTAAACCAGCGCTTCTATTGCTTTTTTGACCAAATGTATGGCCAAACAAAACAGTTTTAACAGCACTCGTATGCTATATATTTATAAATAGTGAAAATTCAAACGATAAGTCAAGAAAAAGCAATAACTTTGTTGAACACACATATTGAAGGCATTGATATATTCAAAGAGATTTTATCAGTGATAAGAGATAACCAAAAGTTATATTTATTTACTTCTAGTGAAAGAAAGTGACTTTTACTTCAATTTCACAAAAAACCAAATAAAAGCAAATGTGAATAAAATAAACTGTAGTTCAATGCTATAAATATTTTTGTTGTTCAATAGATTTATTTTTACAATTTATTGCAAATGGTTTCAGCTATTAAACTAGAAAACCAAAAATACTTATACAATTTTTTTTGACATTTACTATCTCACAAATTGAATCGGGAGTTACTATTTTCTATAAAAATAAATATTTCAAATAATATGTTTGAATATACAAAACGGTTATCTTTAATAAAACAAGTATTAGTTAAGCAAAAACAGGAAGAGTTGCTTAAGTTGTAATAAAAATTTATTAATAAAGTTAATGAAATTGTTTTGACTTGAGAACCGAAAAGTGATTAAAACATTAAACCGATTATATTTACTGTATGTGTAGTAGTTATGTAACATTTGTGAAAATATAAATTTTTATTAGATTTCTAAAGAAATACATAAAACAACTAAAAATACTGTTTATGTTTTAAGACACTTAAAATATAAGTAATTAGTATTACATTGAAAGATAAGTAAACATAAAAATAAAGTGTCAACAAAAATTATTATTAAGTTATAAAAATAATTATAAATTATTTTACTGATTTTCCCCCTAAAATTTATATTTATTATTAACAAAGCTATGAATAGATTATTTGATAATAAGCCGAACAAATTTAATAATCTTTTAATACATTTATAATTGGTTTGAAAATCTCTATAATAAACATGTTTTATAAGGAATAGTGAAAAGCAAAGTGTGTCGTGTATTAAAAGCTAACAAATAGTTTGTAGAAATTATGCAATCATTGAAAAATATTGGACGACATCCTTATGGTTGAGTGATACCACACGTGCTTTATTCAGACTATATATACGATTCAATGCTCACATACAGTATATTTCATTTTAACCCTTATATTCAAACTATTTTTATTGAAAAATTACAACAAAAACTTATTTGAACTCAAATCGGCATAAATTTTATATGAAATAATTTATTGGCGAATATTTTGCATAACTATTGAATTAGATATTTCTTAGACTATATACGATATCATCAATTCAATAGATTACAATCATTGTAAGTACAATACATAGGCTATAAATACCATTCACACTATTATATTGAATTGAAACGACCTTTTTTTTGGGTAGTCGTTGTCATATATATATATATATATATATACTTAACGTTTGTTATAAAGATTTCCTATGGGTTTCTCCTTATATTTTTATACTATTTTTTGTTGTTTTAAACCTAGACTTTGTGGGAATCCTTTTATTTTTTAGTAAAATTTTTTAACAAAGATTTGACTGTCGCTTGATTTCACACTTAAACAGATTGAGATACTGTATGTCTGTATTTCAGACAGTTTTTCATATTTAATGACAATTTGAACTCATTTTTCATCGATAAAGACCCTCTTATTTAAAAACTATTTCCTAAACGTTGAATTCATCATTGGATTCATTGGTATTGCACTTCACCTGCAGTTTTGCATTCAAATCAGTTGGAAGTGAATATCTTTTTTGGTCAATAAGTTGAAAGGTTTATATTTCTAACACACAATAGGATGAGCCCCTAAACCTTAATTTGCATATATGGGTGACAAACAATGTTATGCCTCTCTGTGCCCCCGGTTTTTCACTATTATAAGACATATGAATAACAGCTGAAATTTATTCACAAAACAACACAACTATCGATTCACTGAAATATAACAAATATTCCAAATATTTTAAATAAACATAAAAATTGTTTTTTAAATTTTGTTATTTAAATATTTTTGTTACATTTATATAATATATTAATTTCTTAATACATTATTTTATAATTTAATCAAAAATAAAACAACATTTAAATCAAATCAGTAAAGGGGAGAATAAATATTTTACAAAAATTAAGTGTTAATAAAAATTTATTAGTACTTAAATCTTTATAAAAATAATTATATAGTTTTTCGTTTAATGATTTGATTAAAATTTTGTTAGTTTTATTTTTTGATTAAATTATAAAATTACTATATAACTTTATAACTTTATAATAATATAATAATTATTAAATTATATATACAATATATTATATTCAGAAATATTATACATTGTATATCTCAAATTTATATTTCAGAATAAAATTTAATAATACTAGAAATCACTTATAATCTTATGAATAATTTTATTTTATTTTTTATATTTATTATTTATATATATATATTTAAATATTTATAATATATTTATTATACATTATTTTATAATATACATATCAAGATATATTTAAGTCTCATTTTTGTGAAACTATCATTATATATATATAAACAAAAGTCTGAAAAATCAGTGATAAATGAATCGCATCTAAAAAAGACTTTTCAAATGTTTAAATAGGAACTCATTTGAGATCTCAATGATATCAATGATTTGATAACAATGTTTTAGTTGTCTTTGAGTACCTGAAATATATCTCGTATTTTGTGCTAAAAAACGTTTTTTAAAATCTCATTTTCGTTAAATATGAATCAAATAAACGTTTCCATTAATAAAAAGATATCACATAATAATTTATACAATCACGAGTCAATGTGTTTAACTATTATACAGTTTTTTATCATTACATATATTTCATTTAACAATTTCATTTCAGTGTAATTTGAATATAAATCATATCTTATACAATAAAATAATGTTTTAAAAAAATAATATTGCGATTCATTATCCCTTATATTAGCTGTCGTCGACAGGTTTGGCCTTCAAATACAGATTTATGGTTAGCACCGGTCACTCGTCTATTAATTGCCGAATTACTTGTCATATATATTATATAAATATAATATATGTCACGTAATCACCGATTTTGTGAATCTTTTTCATCAAATATTATTATAATTGATTTTATATATGATATAAATGTTGATAATAGTTGTCAATTACTGGCAGAACCGGCCCTTTCAGGACTTAACTCTGTGTGATGTTTCTTCCGTAACTAAAAATTATAATAAATAATAAAAATATAATTAATTTCAATATAATTACATTATCAGATTAATTATTTTTTGACAAACTACTGTATAATTTTTTATCAAACTATTTAAAGTTGTTTATTTTGAAAATTTATCTATAAATGTAAGTATGACTTATGACATTACTAATGTATAATATTATAGTATTTATATATATATATATATATATATATAATGACAAGTATAGAGATCTATTAATTTCAAACTGTAATCAATATAATAGTTATAGAATGTTTCGTTAAAATACATTATAAATTAAAATTTGTTGCAAAAAAAACAATTTGTCAATGCATTCAATAATAAGTGAATCAAATCTGTTTAAAAAGTTGTTAAGCACTCCATAATTATAAGATATAACAAACATTTTGTAATACATTTATTATTTTGACTGACATTTAGATTTTAGATTTATAAGCTATTAATGGTTTAGTGCTCTGAAAAAAACTGAGATTGGATTAGACGTTAAAAATGTTTTTTAATCTTTTGATTATTACTCAGCCATCAAAACGCTTTTAGTATTTTTTAATTGTCGTTAACAACGCTATATTTGAATAACATTTTTATCCTACAATTAGATATTGTGTTTGAACTAACGTTAGGGATAACACTGACAATGTTATGCTAAACCCCGTAATTATATCACATAACAAACTAATAAGTCCTAAAATGATGGACAACAATAAGACACTGTTGTCGGGTCGCGTGTCATCAGTACGGCCGTCCACTGGGCGACCAGCAGTTGACGTGTGCCGATAAATGTGAAAAATACTGGATTTACACCATATTGTACCCCAATAGACACCATCAATGGTTCTCCCCTTTCACTGTTAATATAATCACTATATCGATACTATGTTTATGCCGTTACAATCAATAGTTTCCCTCTCAGTGTATAACACTTAGTTTTTTTTGCAAAATCGCCGCTCATTTTGCTTAACATTTCCATCAAATCCTCCTCTCATTCCCTCCTCTTTTCTCTCTCTCTCCTCTCTAACCTCTCAACCATTTTTGACGAGTATTACTAACACTACCGTATTGTAAGTCAAATAAAATGAAAAACTCGCTGAAAACCTAATAGAGAAATCTATAGAGAACATGGATTTTGAATTTTTATGATAAATCCCAACTTTTTGAGCAAAAAGTATCGATGCGTGGGATGGATACGGAATAACATATATTTTTCCATATATTGTATAAAATCACTGAAAACAGTAATACTTTTTGGGGACAAATAATAGTAAATTCTATTATAATTACTCTGTTATTTGGCATTATATTTGGTATTTAGTGTAATAATATTAACTCATGAATTGTGTTCAAACATTGAAAATATTTGCTAAAAACATAAAAATTTAAGTTATATTTTATTAGATTTAATAAAAATTGTGGGAAAATTGAGTGAAAAAGCAATTGTGATGTCTGTGTGCGTGTATTGGTGTGTCATTTACTCAAAATTACTTTATTTTCAAAATTCAATACAATATACTGTGTATTATATAGTCTACTCTACTTAAAATCAATTGATTGAGTTGAGGCTTAGTCTTAATATTTTGAGTGAATCCACAAAATATCACTAATTCGGCACAAAATGTTGAAACATATGAAAAACATAAGTTTTTGTTGTGTATGTATATATGTGAGTGAACGCGAATAATATGTAATACAAAAAATATAATATCATAACAATTGAAAAATACAATTATGACTATATGTTTGCGTTTTTATGATTCAAAGCGTAATCACAATATAAGTATTGCTTTCTTTTCCCACGAAAAGCAAACGGTTTTCTAGTATTGAAGTTAGTGTTGGAGTGCCGGTAGAGATGAAGCGTCAGGTGTATGACAAGTGCTATCATATGTTAGCACTGTATATATCATTGATAAGTAACATTACATAAGTGTTGGGTCGGTTCGCACGCCAACATAGTATCTGTTCACTCAAAAAGCTTGAGCCGACACTAAACACAGTACAGCACTGACAGCATAACACCGGCAGTACAGCACTGGCATCACAGCTGGAAAACGGTGTCTATGTTTTTACTAAAAAGTAATGATTAGGCTTTTGGCCTAAGTTTTGTCGCGTGTGTTGGTACACATTGAAGGCATTGACAAGTTTTTTTTTGAAACAAACTACAAAATATATCTCTATTATTATTATTATTATTATTATTATTATTATTATTATTACTATATAAATGTCTACTACTATGAGTACTACAGCTGCAACCATATGGACAATACATTGAAATGACTTTCAATGTAATTATATTTGCAATCAATTTTTGTCTTTTCTATTAAGTTATTCTTAACATATAAACCCCATCTAAACATCTAATCTAATCATTATTTGGCTATATCTTACAATCAGACCGCATCAGACTCCCGACTCATAATGTTTTGTGAATATCTATTAAACTATATTTTTAATATAAAAATGACCAATGGCAAAGTTATAGATAATTTTAGACTGGATATATTTATAATTAATTATTTTTTATTTACTCTTATGATTGGCCAGATAATTGCATCAGACCTGTTAAAAGAGGTCTGATGCAATTATCTGGCCAATCATAATAGTAAATAAAAAATAATTAATTATAAATATATCCAGTCTAAAATTATCTATAACTTTGCCATTGGTCATTTTTTAATTAAAAATATAGTTTAATAGTTATTCACAAAACATTATAAGTCGGGAGTCTGATGCTGGTCTGATTTTAAGATAGAGCCCATTATTTCAATAGTTTGAATGTCACACACTTTTTCACAGTTTGTATTGATTGTCATTCACTTATATATTATATACAGTATATATAATATAATATATAATCAGTAAATTGTATACAATATTCAAACTGTCTATAATGTCAACTATGAACTGACCTCTGCTTCGGCTTCTGCCTGTCTTTCTTGAGCTGCTTTGAAAATGCGTTGTCTTTCCTCCAGTTCCCTCATCCGCGAGTTGTATCTATCCATTTGATCTCTTAATATGGCGTCTTCTAAAGCACCCCTCTCTTCATCGTATTCAAGACAAGCAACGCCATCAAGTCTTTCCAGATCTATCCAACCCCTCCATCTGACACATACGCCGTTCATTATCATACATGACTTTATATGAACCTTCATTTGACAATTAAATCAATTATTTAATATTTTTTTAGTCAAATGCAATAAATTTTTGTAACATTTCATTACAATTACAGATTTTCTTATTAATGTTTTATACAAACATAAATCAATAATATTGCAAATATAACAAAATTGCATTCACTAAATTACACATACACTAAACAAAATTATTTTTGTTGTTGATTAGAGTAATCTTATATACAGTATAATAATGCGAATGTCAAATAAAAGTTACATTAAGTGATAGAAAACATGTTTTATTGTATATGTATTCTGAAGTCTATATACAGTATTATATATAATACTGTATGAAGTTCAACATTATCATATTTGTTTTTTTGTATACACTCAAGCAATTATAGATTTATTTAATATACAATTGTTGAAAATATTTTTGAATACATAAAAAAATTTAGTAATCAAATGCTTAATTTTTTGATATAATCACTACACTATGCATTTAAATTTCTTTTGACAAAAATTTAGAGTAGATATATAACATTTGTTTCACTAGTATTCGCATAAAATTTATGTGCAGTGAATGCGACAGACAATCAATAAACTCAAAAGTCTACATATAAATGGTATTTATAACATGTAATGATGTAATTTACAAAATTGTTATCTTAAGAAGAAAAATAATGTTTTTCATAAAAATGTTTTTCAATACTCAAGTGTTATTCAAAAAAAATAAGTTAAAAAATTAAACGGAATTAGTTTTGATAAAAACCTAAATAAATATATCATTGAATCGGATGTCAATTTAGTGCTACGGATATGGCCTATGATCTCATCATTATCTGAGGCCATCTCAAGTCTAGCATTTTGTTTAACTTATATTATTTTTTTTACGTTTCACTCGTTATAAACCTTATGATTACAGAGTATATAATAGTTTGCATTCACTTTCAATATAGTAAATAGTTTTTAGAGTTACTAATAATAATAATAACTCCTCTCATAAAATGTCATTTTTGTCGTTCAGTCGATAATTTTTGTAAATTATTTCCTAAACGTAATGAGACTACGATTTTAATGCCAAAGACTTCTCAACCATTTCATTGACAGTCACTCACACCATAAGGTTTACACTCATTACCACAAAATCTTTTAAAAATTTGTAACTATTGTCTCAAAATAATGACTGACTTGGATCCTGTTATTACTTGAATTTTGTTATCGTATTAAAGCATTCAAATAAATAAATATTATGGATATTGATAAACATTGTTACTAAATAAATAATAGTATTTTGTATTTAATACACTTAATTTCACAGTATTTAAATATAGTTTAATTGTGTTAAAAGTTTTTATGGAAATATTCTTAACATATTCAAAGAATCAAATAAATAAATGAATGAATGAATGTATAAATAAATTTTGATGTATAATAACTAAGCGTTTAAACGTTTCATTATTTAAAATTGATATCAATTGACAAACAAATGATTTATTTGAATGAAACAATAAAACCACAAAATGGTATTAAATAAGAAGTTTGTCTCAAGAAATAGTATTTCTTTGTTTGCGATCACAAAAGCATTATTAGTCTTCAGTTGTGCCGAAAAATTATTGTTCATTTTGTTGACGAAAAACACATTTATTTATAAATATGTGTTTTGTGTCGCGTGTTGTCTATATTAAGTCAATCAGTGATGCATTGATGGCATCGTTAAGTGAAACGAAACAGAAATACCTAATTATAAGACAAACCTATTGTTGTGTGCAATAAATATATTAAAATCTAAAAGTCGCTATAAATGCAATGTTATATAATAATTAAAGTTAAGAAAAAGGAGACAATGATTGGTTTGCAAATCACGTCTATATATTGTAATATACTATCGTATCATTCATTTACTATATATTACAGTATTATATATAATATATATTTGTCGATATACTGTATATGTTGTATGAGTACCGCATAAGGCTTTGCCATTTGCCGCATTGTGGAGAAGAGCTCCGCGGATATTACCACTCATACCACTCCAAGAAGGATATACTACCACTTCATTGTCATGACAACAGCACCCGGGGATTACAGGAATAGTAGCTAAAGAGAAATTGGGAATCACTAGAAAAGCATCACTACAACGATTCACTCAAGCATTTACTACTAGTTTCTGCGGCACTGTTGGTACTAATGTCAGTCCAATAAAGTGTAAGCCGCCATAGCTATAGCCATTACATGCCAGATGCTATTTGAATGGCGGCACCTTGCTTATTGGAACTGGTGGACAGTGCCGGAGGAATGCCATAAATGCCAGTGTATTGGCATGTGTTGTGTAGGAGTTATAGCACTTATAGTTAAAGCAAAATATTGTTTAAACTCATCCTTCAAATTGTGATGACAAATACTTAAAGCGACTAAACGTTAATTGACAGTCAATTATGATTTGCATGTTATTTGAATGATTTAACTGATTTCAGTGCTTTCAAACCAAAGGGTCAAATACTGTATATATATATATATATATATATATATATTATATGACAGGACAGGCATTTAAAACTAATGGTTTGCATATTTCAATAAAAACTAACAATTCATAGTATGCTTTCAATAATTTATATATAAAAACAATAATAAAAACATGTAATTGCAGTAAACATTATAATTGATTAGTGGAGTAAAATTTGGATAAAAATTATAGAATAGTATTTATATTTATAACAACTATAGTAATAGTAATATACTGTAGTAATTGTATAGTTATGTTGAACAGTATGAATATGTGATAACTGTACAGTAATTGTAATAGTAATGGATTAGTATTAGTTATGTCTTACCTTTCCCTGTTCTTTATCGAAATCACATCCATCGCTATAGCCATTAGCACAGGGACTAAACATAAGTTGTAAGTTAGTGCCCGTCGCTATAAAGGCCTGCAAATATGAGTACAGAAATAATGAAAATAAAAACAAATTAAACAAAACATTTAAGGCTAAGCACTAAATACTAGTAAAGAGAAAGATATTATTTATGACTATTTTGTCTGCCCTTTCGCTAACACTAATCATATGAATGATGCACTCTATTCATAGCACTTATAGCCCCCAATGGTTAGGGCCGGCAAAAAGGTATTCATATGATCTATCATCACAACAGCACAGGTAGTGTTTGGCACACAGACAGTGTTGTTCAACGAGCCGGCAATAAGTCAAGTGGGCTTTGTTTTCAAGTATTGATATAGTAGTGAGAGAGAGACCGATATAATTGTGGCCTAACCCTAACACAACCCTAACCCACGCGCCTTAGATTATATACTAACGAGTTATGCGTTTTTTGGATTTAATTTCTTTTTTTGGCCACAGATTACTTATGAGAGGGACGGTAGGAAAAGGGGGGAATGGGTATGGAAAGGAAATACTCTACTTATTAGCAACACTTAAAAACAGTGCATTTTTAAAAACAAAAGCAGATAATAATAATAAAACAGTAAAAAAGCAAAACATTTTTTACAACAATTTTCTACTCACAAAACACACTGGACTATAGTAGATGTTGTGGCAAACATTGCAATTATGATTAAAATATGATACACCACTTTCTGTTAGGGCTTGCCCTCACTTATTACAACTATTTATATGAGTCAAACCATAACTATCATTACCGGCAAAATACCACATTAAATTAAGCCAAACAAATAATTGTATACAAAATATATGTGTGCTAATAGAGGCTCTCACATATCGCACAGTTATGTGTTTTAATTTTTGCTTTTTTTGTTGTTGAATGTCTGCCTTCTTCCTCAATAAACACTACATTTGTTTTGTAATACAAATAAATGTTTAATATTCAAACAAATTCCGATTCTATGAGTGAAAACACAAAACAAGTGTCTCATGATTGACACAACACATACCGCTTCTGTATGTCCTTCTCGGCAACCGTTTTGGAATCTTATCTGCCGTTCCTCTAGTGGTCGGTCCCGATAACCAATATATCGAACCTAAATCAATAGAAACATGGAGTTAATGGTGAAACTGTGTGTTTGCAGAATAATCAGTTGTAGGCATACCTCAGCCTCGCGTGAGAGTCTCCTAAATAGTTCGTCGGATTCAAACTTAGATTTTTGATCGGTAACCACTCGAGGCATTTTAAAAATAAACCTGGGCAATTGTTCAAATATTGTTGGCGTTTCAAATGGTAACATTGTTATCGAGGATAATAATTATCATAAGATTCACAATGATTTAGGTATTAAATCAATAGTAGTCTATATAATGTTGAACACGGATTCACTCAGAAATGCATCACTTTTTTATATAATGACTTATATTTACACAAATATATTCACACAATTGTTAGTACTGTAGTCAATACCGACACATCACTCAATTGAAAAGCTTATGGATGTGTAATGTCTTATGTTGTGACAAAAGGAGGCAAAGTGTCTGTCAGTGTTTGAAATGTATGAGTTTGGAGGTGAGCCGCTCGGCCGCAAAAAGTTGCCACTATTGCCACCGCCACCAAAGTGCAAGCTCTTAGTCTGGCTTCCCATTGGACCACCACTTCATCAGCAGTTACCACTTCGCGGAACAGGATTACCCCAAACCCACTATAACCCATATATTGGTTGTGCGGATTGGACCTTAGGGGGAAATGGGGCGGTCATGTGGCGCTCCTGGTTTGCTATCAATGGTAACGAAGCGCATGCGGTCGCAAATATTTTGATATGGATTGCAATCTTATGAAATGCTTGTATTTATTGATACTTGAGATATACTATCTAAGCCTTACACCAGTATTTGCTCCCAATGTTTAGTGTCTGCAGTGTTTGCCTCACAATTGATTACCTCTTGTTTGACAAGAGATTTGTTTGCACCAACAACATACACACACACACACACACACACACACACACACACACACACACACACACACACACACACACACACACACACACACATACATACATACATACATACATACATAGACATACACATACATACAACCATACACATCCACACACACACAACCAATCTTCTAGAGCTTATACATAGCAAGAGATACATACAGTTTGATAGTTAAGTGAAGAACTAAAAGTTTTTTAAACATAAGCTTTAAAAGAGTAGTTTTGTGATAATGTGTACGTTTGACAACATTGACAACAGTTTGCACTTAAATACACTGTGAGAGAGTGTAGTCACTAATTCTCGAGCATTTGCCTCAAGCACTCTGTGATTGCTATGATATGTATGTATAATAATATATATTCACCGACTCTTAAAACATATACATTTATATACTAACCATATGTTATATACTTATATACATAATATACACCTGTTTTTCTCAAAACTCAGTGTCTCTTAAAATTAAATTATATTATTATTAAATAATATTACTTAATATATAATGAATATAATGGTGAGAGAGAAACATCTCACTCTACAACTATACCAATGATTTGTGGTCTGCAATAGCACACCAAACACTATATTTATAGTTATTATGATTATTATATATTATTTTATATTAAATCATTTTTACTATATATTAAACTAAATGCTATAATGAAGTTAAACTTCATGTATTTTAAAATGATACACAATATAAACATTATTCACACACTTATATAATAACTATGTTATTATATACTGAATGTTCAATTGTGAAATAATATATTTTTAAAAATAAATTTTAATCTTAATGTTTGCGATAATTTATAAACATATAATATATTATCTAAGATTTAAATTATTAGTTTGAAAACAAATTAATGTCAATTAGATATTTGTTTTTAAAATATCTGTTTGATAATGACATCAATTTTTTGTTGAATTATAATTGTAATATAAATTTATATGTATGTTAAAATTTATAAATATAATAATTATTACATAAATTGGTGGCTTAGGATTTAATCTGATTTAATATAAACTAATAATTTAAAGATTAATGTATTATTTGAAATGTAAATGAATGAGTATTAGTTTATTAGTATTGAAGTGTTAGACACACATCGAGTATATTGAAAAGCTATTGATTGAAAAGTGATGGGAAAAAACTTTATAATTGGGTGCAAATTGGAGTTTTCACTTTTATTATAGACTATTATGTAAGTGTTTTGTTTGATTAGATATGCAATAATTGTAGGCCAGTGTCAAAAGTAATGGTCGCGTGTCTCACTCCTGTCCTCTCTATTTATGTCCAAATTTAGACACTTTTCAAATGTCTGTTTGCAACCAATTTTTCACTGATTTAAAGTCAGAAAATAGTTTTTAGAGCACTAATAGAGCTGTAACTGTGTGTCTAAACAGTAGTATTGAGTAGCGGATTGTCATACAAAATGGTAACTCTAATCGAGTCCAAGGCATGTCCAAGTCTTCCTTTGTCACTATACCTCCCCTTTTGCACGCTTCGTATAACACAATACACAACTACTTTTTGTTATCATACTGTTCACAAAAAGATGGATAGATTGAAGGATAGAAATAATATATAAATCAATGAAAAAGAGAAGAGAGAGAGAGAGAGAAAGAAAGAAAGAGAGAGAGATTATTATATTATTGAATTGAATGCAATGTCTGCCAACACTGCAATAGGTTGTGTGCATACATTCAAAAACTATTGCATTGAAAATGCTTTTATGCTTCAAAAGCACATATGTTTTGATCTCTATTTGGATGCATCACTTCATATACGATATATATATATATATTCACAATACATATATGTATTCATTTCGTTAAATATATACTGTATATATATATATATATAGTATTATAAGTATTACTCCGATTACTCGTAACTTATTTAACTGTTAAGTTTTCTCACTTTTGCTTCAATCATATTTCAAACATTTTTGTAAACTCATTGTCACATCTTTTTTTTTAAGTTATGCCCAAAAATAAATACAAGTGTGAGAGTAGTGTCAGAAAGTGTTTCCCTATTTCAATGTTACAATGCATATACAATATAGCAATTGCTTTATTTGATTCCCATTTTATTGATTTGAATTTTTTTGAGTCGAAAAATGTTTTTATTTTTCTTTTGCTTAAAATGTCATTTTGTTTTTGACTCGAGAGTCAAAAAAAGGCAACCGTTTTGACGGACATTATCAACATATCAATCAATATTTTGACTCTTATTGTATATTTTTTGGCCTTTTTGTTGGAAAATCAGCTAAAACGACAAAAAAGTATTATTATTGAAAATAGCAAATATCTCTTAAATAAAAAGCCAACCATTTTGTTGTATTGTTGTCCTCGTGTGAAGCACTGGCAGTGAAAACCGCAAGCCTTAGTCACCCGACTCGACATCGAATCAGAGACAAGAGTTCAGAGGATTTGGCAAAGGATGGAGGAGAAGGAAGAGAGAGAGAGAGAGAGAGAGAGAGAGGGAGAGAGAGCAAAGAGATGATTCATTAGCTGATCCACTACTCTACTCAACAAGAATGCTGTTTATGGCCATTAAATGCAATGCAATCTCATTATATATGTTTTGTACCAATATTTTTCATTTCACTGAAAGCTTTTCATCTATATATTTTTTAGATATTATTAAATTAATGCAAAATTTATCTGATATTTCAAAATAAGCACTTTTAGGCAATATTTAAAAAAATATTACAATTAAACTTCGATGAAATATTTTAAACAATTATTTAGTTAAGAGAGTATATCAACAAAAAAAAATTGTGACATAAATAAAGATGTTTATTGTATTTTTTGTTTAGTTATAGTTAACAATTGAACGGTTTTATTCAATTATTTAGTAAATGTTTCCAAAGTAAAAGTCAAATACCCGTATAGACAATAACAATAAGTGATATACAGTAATACAGTATTGTAGTTAAAAAACAAGACAATACAATATATAGTAATTAATGTTTATTTTGAATTAGGTTCCGCTTAAAGACTATTCAAGTTCTATGGTTTGCAACTATACTGTACTGTATATACAATAATATTATATATATTTTTATATATTTACGCCAAAAATCACTGATTCGTACGGTTTTTAGTGACATTTATTCTTCATTTATGTTCATATAATTGGAGAATATTTCTTAAGCAGACAACAAAAAATAATATTGGAAAAGATCTGGAGATAAGATTAATGTCTCAAAAAATAATACACAGAATCTCTATATAATTATTTGCCAAATAATATAATATTGGGTACAATGTATAGAAAAAATACAATAAATATATACTTTTGTTAAAAACTGTTTATTCCTTAAAGTTAGTCATTTCAATGATTGGGTTTAACACTTGTGACCGCAAAAGATATTCAAATTACAAGAAACCCCTTTTAAAAAAAACAAAATGCATTGAAATGTTTAAAATGATTTTAAAAGTTATTTTGAAACATTTTACTCACATTTGAGAAAATAAACAGATCTTTGAAACTGAAAATTATATGCCTTTAAAGTTTAAGTCAAGTCTCAAATGATTTATTTGATGTAAGGATTTGAAGGCCAGTGACTGAATGCCTCTTTTAAAGAAATGGGCGCTAAAAGAGTTTGGTTTGGTTGAGCTCTAATGGACTCAATCGACCCATTGATGGCTTGTGGAAGACCTAAAGGGCACGCGTCTGAATCTACGGTCAGACCATAGGGTAGGTCATCCCAAATGTATACATATCTTGTATATACAAACACAAACACACACATGGAATGTATATACTGTAATATATTGTATAAACTGAATATTTAGTATATGTTTAAAAATGTTGAGTCAAATGTTAAAGCTATCAATAAAGCAATGACTGGTGTGGGTTGTCATGCCTTAATCTGAAGCCATACCTCATGTTATTGTTTTTGTGATAATAAAACAAAGTGACCGCAGATCAGACTCAAGAGCCGCTAATTAGCGTAGGAATCATTAGAACAACGCCTTAATGTGAGCCCAACTTTGGCTCTGAATTTTTTTGGGGCCAAACATCTCATCTCAAGAATAATAATCAGTTTTAAATGTTTTAAATATAAATATTTAATAAAATTCAGATTCACTACATATTTAAGACACAACTATAATATATGAGAAGCTTTTTCTCTCATTTTTTGGTTTTTTGCCACAAAACCAAAATTAATTCACAAAACAAATGATTTTTTCTTTTCTTTTCTGATGAAACTTTGAGTTCATATAATACAAGAGATAATAAACTGGAATTAAAATTATTATAATTATTAAGTTTAATAATAAAGTGAATGCAAATGAGAGAAAGTGT